TGTTGCACGCTTTTAGGCACAACGAAGCTGATCAAAGTTTTTATTGATTTTTATGTATAATGGTAATATTATCTGGATAGTTAACGTTTATGCCCGTGTGCCACAATATAAAACTGGGGGTTTTAAAGGGTTAAAAGAATTTATTTTGCTATTACGAAATTTTATTTGTATATTTCTATTCCGTTATTCGTCCGTTATTGACCAATGGCCACGCAATTAATTAATATAGGTCAAAGTATTAAAATTCTTAAAAAATAAAAAATGAATAATTCTATTTTTTTGTGATTTTTGGATACATCTCCAGTATAATAATCCAGGTATAGATCATAAGGACTATCACCAGATTCTCCTAATTCACATGTAATCTTCCGATTACAGTATTTTCTCATAATTTTGGCTTAGATCATTCATCTGTATGTCGAAATCATTCGCATTTTTATTGTTGCTCTTCGTTTCGTTTTACGAATGCTGCATTCCTTAATTTTCATTCTAAGAACCCATGAGTGAAAACGAAGAATATGTTATGTTAGCAGACGATATTGGAACACGAGTGTGAACGGAAAAAAAGGATGAATAAATATTTGATAAGATTATAAAAAACTATATATTTTCTACATCACTTATGATGAGAAGGATTAGAAATCAGTGAAGAGAAAGAAAAAGTGGAAGAACGGGTGGAATACACAGGGACGTATTCCGCCAAACATTGCTGTTAATTTAATAGTAGTTTGACTACTGACTATATTCATAAGGAAGTTTTTAGTGCAAAGTTTCAAAATGCAAAATTGGCTTTGTTAGTATTTTTCACAAAGGAACCTGCAACATGTATTCTTTTATCATATGTTTTAAACATAAAATAATGCATTGACTTACTGTTTTGCTTTTCCCGAAATGCTTGAAAAATATTATACAAGTTGTGAACATGTAAGACTACATGTCATCATTGTTTCAAGCTTTACGCGCAGTTCAAAAAAAGTATTCAGATTTTTTTTGTGTGCAAACAAAGGTAGTTTTTACCTATATAATTGTGAAAAAATCTGAAGACCCCAACCTAAAATCTGCTCTCCCCCTCCCTAAGTTAGTTCTCGTGATCCGCCGTTAGTGTAGGTATGTCTGAGTTATTGTGAAATTTGTGTAATCTTGAAATCTAATTCCCAAAGAAATTATTAGAGTAACTTTAACTTTTTTTTGTAGATGCACAGTGTTGATTATATTTCTTTCTACCATCAGTTCGTCAGCCATATCGTAACACGTTAAAAAATTAGGTTGTCTAAATTCGTGAGGAATAGATTAATGGCATTGGCACATCTAATGAAGAATGATATTCCAAGATTACTCATTTTTTTACTATGAAGATTACTGCTAGCGACAAAGAATATTTGACCATTCCATAACAATCAAAACTTAATTACTCATCGTCTTAAACTAGTTTTTATTTTTTACTATTCTGTAGGCAGAAAATAACCTAAAAACTAAAATACGTTTTACGACTTATTTACCCCCAGGATATAAACAATACTTGTAGCTACTAGATCACTTTAAACGTCCGGTAGATGGCGAAACAAAGCTACATGACTCGAGAAAAATTTCTATACAAACCTTCAAATTTTACTTAGAAATAAAAAAATGTTCACAAAATTATCAAGTCTAAACTTAAAAAGTCATAGCTAAAAGGGGACATCGGGGCCTCTGTAGTCAAATATCAGGTAGATATACCGTTAATATTTATGTATTCATTTATCTTCTTAGTTATATGAGATATCCCGAAATACTAACGGCGCTGTGGTGGGCAACCTGCATGTTTAAACCGCTCCATTGGGGGTAAATGGTCATGA